TGTCACTCTTATAATTGTCTGAAGCGGTCTGCTCTTTGGGATATTAACATCCTTTTATTTGGCCAGAAAATAGAGTCAAGTGGGAATGACAGCCACGCCTTTCCTCGTAATGGGGACTCTGACCGTCTGACTCGTGTGTGTGCTTGTCAGCTGGACCGCTCTGGTGAATGTGCCCCTTTCCCGCCAGTTGTCATGAATGGGACGGGTGTTGGTGCAGGTGTTCTTCACGGGGCCCTCCTCCCTGTCGGTGAGGGTGGAGGGTGGGGACACCTGTGACAAGGCTGCTGGCGTGTAAATTGCCACACCTCCTGGCAGGGTTACTTGGAAACAAGGCATCGAGAACCTTAAATATATCCAATATCCCTTTGAGCTGACAGTTCCCTTGTAGGAAGTTTACCTCAGGAAAAATCAGACATTGTTCACTGCCACGTTTAGAATATTGACGATTGTAAATAGTCAAAATGTTCAGAAATTGGGGAAAGGCTAACTATAAAAACATAGAAAGACACGTGCTAGAAGGCTTTGTAGCCTTCAGGATCAATGTTTTGAGCAGGGGTAGCACACTTTTTCTGCGGAGGGCCAGATAGCAAATATTTTAGTGTGTATTTCAGTGAGTCACATGGTCTCTTTGGTGACCTCTCAGCTCTTCCGCTGTCGTGTTCAACGTGCAGAGTATGTAACAGACAGATGTGGCTGTGCTCCAGCAAAATCTTATTTACAAAAATGGACAGTGGCCTGTAGTTTGCTATAGTAGAAAACTATAGTACACCCCTATAGTGGAACAATACCTAATGACAGTGGGAATATGGTCATGATTTTAAAGTGAAATATATAAGCAAGGAATGTTGGATAAAGGAAATTTTCTTAAAAAGGACTAATTGTAGGGGCCAGCCCTATGGCCAAGTTCGCATGCTCTGCTTTGGCAGCCCAGGGTTTCACCGGTTCGGTTCCTGGGCGCAGGCATGGCACTGCTCATCAGGCCACATTGAGGTGGTGTCGCACATGCCACAACTGAAAATATACAACTATATACTGGGGGGATTTGGGGAGAAAAAAGCAGGAAAAACAAAAAGATTGGCAACAGTTCTTAGCTCAGGTGCCAATCTTTAAAAAAAAGAAAAAAAAGGACTAATTGTAAAAGATTAATAAATTGGGCTAAAGTTAGGAACTTCTCTTCATCAAAAGACATCATTAATAGGGAGAAAAGGCAAGTCACATGGGGGAGGAGAAGATATTTACAACAGAGCCTACATGTGGACTAAGAGTCAGTAAGAAAAAGGCAGATGACCCAAGAGAAAAAGAGGACTGTGCTTGTTCCCGCACTGCACAGGGGATGACATCCGACGGCACCCACTGGTCTGCTGGGAAATTTGATGAAGACGGAGTTCTAATGATTCCACTGCAGACCCACCAGGATGGGTACAGTGAGAAGTTCAGCAGCACCACGTGTTGACAAGATGTGGCACAGCGGGTACTCTCATACACTTCCAACGGGAGTGTAATCACTTTGGAAAATTAGCAGAATCTATCAAAGATGTGCATATCCTGATAGTTCTGCTCCCAGGTGTATACCTAAAATCCGTGTCATGTGCTATAAAAGGCAGGTACAAGAATGTTTATAGCAAAGACTGGTAACAGCCCAAATGTCTGTTAACAGTAGAGTGGATTTTGTACATGGCAATATTATGCAATAGTGAAAATTAACTACTGTTACGTGTTACCAAATAAATAAAATTTCAAATGTAATATTGAGTAAAGCAAACAGCCAGACAGAGAAAATGATTCCATTTATGTGAAGTTCAGAAATAGGCAAATTTATCCCAGTGTCAGGGAGTCACCTCTGAGGAGGAGGAAAGGGATAGTGATTGGAGGCTCCCAAGGGGCCCTGAGACGTATTCAATTTGTGATAATTCACACACACTTTTTGGGCATTTGCGTACACACACACACACAAACACATGTATGTTATATTTCCATATGCGTCTATTAAAAAGTTTAAATGGTGTTATCCACATGTGTTAAAACAAATGTGTGAGTGTATGACTTTTTGTTTTTTTATTAAAGATTGGCACCTGAGCTAACAACTGTTGCCAATGTTTTCTTTTTTTTTTTTCCTGCTTCCCCCCTCCACATCCCCCCAGTACATAGTTGTATATTTTAGTTGTGGATCCCTCCAGTTGTGGCATGTGGGACACCACCTCAGTGTGGCCTGACAAGCGGTGTCATGTCTGCGCTCTGGACTGAACCAGCAAAACCTTGGGCTGCCAAAGCAGAGCACTTGAACTTAACCACTCGGCCACGGGGCGGGCCCCGAGTATATGATTTGATACAGAATAGATGCTAATGGAAATACCTTAAGGAAAATAAAGGGAATGTATGTGCTGACACAACTGAAAAGATGTGGCTGGATTCATGCTGACTTCATCATCAAAGCCTGGCAACTCCAAGATCAGCTCTCCTTAAAGTCAGCTCTTCAGGGTGGGCCTGTGGCTCATAGTTCTTTGTGGTCACAGACTGGCTGCCACAGCGCCAGACTGCACGTTCTCTTTGATTCATAGGCAACAGCAAAGAAAAGTCCTGGGCCTTCCATTTATGCCTGCATTGGGTCCCCTCTGAGCCTGTCAGTCACTGTGGCCAGTGGGGTGGTATAGCTATTTAGCATAGTGCATCAAGGCCTGCCCTGAAGGAAGGGGATTAGCCACCTTCAGGTGGTACATGGGTTGAGATTAGGGAGCTATGGTTCCTAGAGAATCCTCAGGGCTCGGTTTGAGTAAAGGATGCATAGATGTTTGTCAGCAAACACAGTGATGTCTGCTGCTGATGTGGAAGCACTTTAAAAGGCAGAAAGCACTGGGTGGGGTATATTTGTTGTTTCTTTCACTCACTTGCTCATACAGTCATGTGTTGCTTAATGAGGGGGGCATGTTCTGAGAAATGCATCATTGTATGAATGCCAGTTCATCGTTGTGTGAACACTGTGGAGTGCACTTACACAGGTCTAGATGGCACAGCCTACTGCACACCTGGGCTGAATGGCACTCATCTTATGGGAGCACTGTCTTATATGTGGTCTCTGCTTGACCAAAATGTCATTGTGTGGTGCATGACTGAGCAAGAATTCACTCAGTTAGGGTTTGGATGCCTGCCAGTGAGGCTGGTACAGTGAGGGGCTGGCTCTAGGGAGCCCCATGCCAGTTGCTGCTGGAGCTCTGAGTGACCAGCCCTGCCTTGGGAGTCAGGTCAGTCCTCCTAAAGAAGTGACCATTGAAGGGACACTCAAGGGATGAAAAGGAGGTGGCCAGGTAAAGCTTTAAAACGTCTAGGAAAAAAATAAGGAGAAAATCTTCCATATATAGGACACAAGAACCACTAAATATAAAAGAAAAACTTTATAAATTGGACTTCATGAAAATTTTAAACTTCTGTTATTTGAGACATAAAAAGGCAAGCCACAGACTAGGAGAATATAATCGCAATGCATATATTTGACAAAAAGAGTTGTGTCTAGAATGTATACAGACCTCATAAAACTCAGTAATAAGACAAACAGCCTGGTTAAAAACTGGGCAAAAATTCAACCAGACACTTCACCAAAGAAGACAAGCAGTGGCGAATGGCTGTGTGAAAAGGTACCCAGCATTGTTAGTCACTGGGGAGAGGCAATACAACGACTCACAATGGCTAACGTTGGGCGTTGACAATACTAAGTGTTAGCGAGGGGTGGAACATCTGGACTTCTCATATGTTGTTAGCTGGAGTGTAAAATGGTATCTCTTTGGAAAAAGATCTGGCAGTTTCTTAGAAAACTAAACATATGCCTACATTATAACCCAGTAACTCTACTCCTAGGTATTTAGCCGTGGGAAATCAAAATGTGTATCCATCAAAATCTTGTACGAGAATATTTGTAACAAGCTTTATTCGTAATAGCTCCAAACTGGGAACAACCCAGATATTCAGCAACAAGTGCATGGCTTAACACACTGGTATATCCATGCACTGGAGTACTACTCAGTAAGAAAAGGAAGTAACTGCTGCTTCATGCACAACTGGGAGGACTTGCCCAGGACACTAGGCTGAGTGAGAGAAGCCTTGCACAAGAGCGTAGGTCCTGACTGATGCTGTGTTGGCGACGTCCCAGGAGAGGTGGCAGTGGTCATGGTGAGGAGGCAAGTGGCTCTCTGGGTTCTCCTGGGGGAGGGCTGAGATGGACTACTGAGGCACCGGGGAAGGTTCTGGGGTGACGGGAATGCTCTGTATCTTCAAGGGGGTAGTGGTTACACAGCTGTGTACCCTTGGCAGGTGTCACAGAACTGTTTACTTAAAAGAAGTACATTTTATTTTATATGTGATACATCAGTAATGTTGACATAAAAAGTAGAAAATATGTAACACCAGTCCCTCTGGCCCTGGAGTCTGGGCTCTTCATGGCCACCGTGTGCTTTCTGGCCCTTTCTGGGTTTGAGTCTACTTTATGTATTGGGAATGTGGCTGCTCAAAGCCCAGGAGTCTTTGGAGAGAACTACATAAGTGACAGTTTATATATGTGTGTGTGGAGGTGTGTGGACACACGTGCACACACGTGCACATGCATACGTGGTTGTTAGGAGACCATCCAGGCTTCTGACTTGGTCATGCGTCTGAGGCACGTAGAGAGGGCCGTTTCGTTTGCAGTGCTGCCGTGGAAGAGCGGTGCGCGCACTGCTGTGCAGATCCCGGCCTGCCTCCTGTGTGGTTGCTGTCAAGTGTGATCAGTTTGGTGGAGGCTGCGAGCCCTGAGCCGGAGCCCTCTGTCCAGGGCCTTAGGTGTGGGCTCGCTGTAGGGGTCAGCTTGCTGACTTTCTTCATGTCTCTTTCTTCGTTCACAGTCCATTTATCCTCCCCTTCATGTCAGATTTCAGACCACCAAGCTTATTTAAGACGTGAGCCTTTTTGTTTTAGACTCCTAATAGAGCCTCTGAATTCATACATATGTTTGTTTTTGTTTCTTTTCTCACCAGGGTTACCTCCCTGCCAATGTGGACCGAAGACCAGCCACTCTCCAAAGAAAACAGAAGGAATATTTTGCGTTTATTGAGCACTATTACGATTCTAGGAATGATGAAGCTCACCAAGACACATATAGACAGGTGGGAGTCCTTTTCCTTTTTCCTGTGTTCCTCGGAGTACTTTAACTTGGTGTGACCTGGAGGAGGAAATGTTTTATCTAGATTGGGTCACAGATCTTTATTTTCTAATAATAAATAAATTTGAAAGCAAATAATGGTGAATTTCCTCTAGTAGTAGTACCTTGCTTGTCTCCAGTTCCTTCTACAACAGTAAAGAGGATGTCACACGATAGATATCCAAGATCCCTTGCAGGACCCTGAGACCTGCTGGGGGTGGCGGTGGGCGCTGCCGTCCGACCTGGAGGGCCAGCAGCAGGTGTTTCACTGGATTGGATCAGACGAATGACTCCGCTGGGCTCCACAGGCGTTGTGCTCCTGGGTGCAGTTAGGGACGTGAATTAGATAGAAGAGAGCTGTACTAACCAGTGCAATTCTGGGGGGCCACAGTTCAGCCCAAAACAAAAAGTAGCCAGTTTATCATTTTGCTATTAACTTAATACAAAGTGGGTATAATTATGGTTTCTTGAACAGTCAGTTGATAGACGGTGTGAATAATGGGAAAAATACTTAAAATTGATTTACAGTTCACATTGCATTCAGAATTTGCTGTTAGAATAGCTCTTTGAGGCCTTTATAATTCTCACCATCTTTGTAATATGTGAAAATTCAAAATGGTTTGTGCCGCAGTTAAACCAGAAGGTAGTTCTTAATTGGTAGCACTGCCTCATATTTCTGAAAGAACTTCGGATTTTCCGGAGAGTTGTCAGCACTAAATACTTCCTTTCAGAAACCCTACCTCTAGTTGGAGGGGCTTTGCTGAATTTTTCTACCTCAGATGTGGGTTGTCCGCATCTCTTTGTCAATTTGGTATCAATCTGTTAAGAAAGTCCAAAGACAGGCTTTACCTCTGACAGATAAGCAAAGGTTCTTTAAGTTGAATGGATGTTTGCAGAGCGTCTTCCTTACAGACAGGATTCCGTGGGGGCTCCGGAGGAAGACGGGCTTGCTTACTAGCCAGGAGTAGTGAGGCTGGGGCGGGAGCCCGCCTCCTCTGCCCTCCGGGGCTGGGCCCTCTCTGCCTCGGCCCAGCCTTCTGCCCTGGAGCTGCTGTGTCTCATAGCTGGGCGGCTCCCAGGCCACATGCTGCTGCCAGCCAGTCACTCTGGGAAACTGATTTGAGAGACATTACATTTGGATTTGGTTAGGGAAGTATTAACTTACCTGGTTTATTTTCCACTTCCCTAGTTTTGGGGAATGGGTAAGTTTGGTATTGCTTTGAACATGTTTTCGATGTAATTTTATTCAAGGAAAAGACTTCCAAAGGACGACACTAGCATCTATCTGCAAGATTTACCTGTTATGAATTTCTTAAGGGAAAGTTAATTAAAAATGGGTTGCATACATCTTTATTCAGTTACTATGATAGGTAATAAAAAGCTCTTATATTATTGTGAATTCCCAAAATGTTTCTACATTAATTTAACTAAGAAAAATGTAACCCATGGCAGTTTCCTGGGGGCCTGCTTGCTTGCTGTCTTGCCGCTGCTATTTCAAGTGCACTGTGAGGTCAAGGCAGAGCCCGGCCGGGTGTAGGGCTTGGGCACCCTGGTCTCTTCCTGCTGCCTACTCGTGTTGTTTAACCCATGGGCTGACCTTGACCCACCATCTACACCACTAGGAGGCAGCAGGGGGCGGGGCTGAGGCCTGCTTCCCCACCCTCTTCTGTCCTCTCTTCATTTGCTTAAGCATTTACTCTCTTGCTGAAGATGTCATGTCCAAAGCACATGGACTGGGTCAGAGTTACAGATGCATCTGGTGTGTCCTCCCCTCTCCAGGAGTCCTGCAGACCATCATGACCTACCCTGCTCGCCCAGTCCGTACATGGGGAGAGGGTAGGGGGTCTGGAGGGGCACATGGAGCCCCTCATGTCCAGCCTTGCGCAGTGCCGTGTCTCAGGTTGGACCTCCTCCTCCTGAAGCCGTGAATGATGGCCAGGTGTGGATGTAAAGCACGCTGCCCTGTCTGCTCAGCAAACACGTGACAGGAGCTCTTCTGTAGCACGGACTGTGCTGGCCCTTGGTTGCCGAGGACAGGTGTGTGCCCATGTGAGTGTGACTGCATGGGAATAGGGCTCTGGTGAAGGGGACGAGAGCTGGTGGGTTCTCATCCCAGCCTGCACCGGCCTCCTGCACATGGCCAGCTAGGGTCCTCCCTCAGTCTGGAATGCTCCCCTCCTCCTCCTCCTCTTCCTCTGCTTCCTCTCCTTGTCCTCCTCCTCTCCTGCTTCTCCGTCCTTCCCTTCCTCCCCCTCCTCCCCCTGCTTTTTCTTCCCCTTCGGCTCCTCTCCTTCTCTTGCTCCTCTCCTACGTCCTCCTCTTCTCCTTCCTCCTCCTCCTCCGCCCTTCCTTCTCCTCTTCTACTTCCTCCTCCTCCCCTTCCTCTTCCTCCCCTTCCACTTCCTCCTCCTCCCCTTCCACTTCCTCCTCCTCCCCTTCCACTTCCTCCTCCTCCCCTTCCACTTCCTCCTCCTCCCCTTCCACTTCCTCCTCCTCCCCTTCCACTTCCTCCTCCTCCCCTTCCACTTCCTCCTCCTCCCCTTCCTCTTCCTCTTCCTCCCTTTCTACTTCCTCCTCCTCCCCTTCCACTTCCTCCTCCTCCTCATCAGCACTGTTGCCCGCAGGTCTCCTTCGGCACACATCAGGGATGCGTGCACGTCTCAGCTTACTCAGTTCCTTCCCATGCTGCTCAGAGGGTTTGAGGATGATTATTTCTTATATTCCTTTGGTTTGTTGTTACGTGCTGTCAAAACAGCTCCACCTCGGGGCTGGCCCCGTGGCCGAGTGGTTAAGTTCGCGCACTCCGCTGCAGGCGGCCCAGTGTTTCGTTGGTTCGAATCCTGGGCGCGGACATGGCACTGCTCATCAGACCACTCTGAGGCGGCGTCCCACATGCCACAACTAGAAGGACCCACAACGAAGAATATACAACTATGTACTGGGGGGCTTTGGGGAGAAAAAGGAAAAAATAAAATCTTTAAAAAAAAAAAAAAAACAGCTCCAACTCCTGGCAACCCAATGAATGAGTGATGCCCACAGTGTCCTGTGCTCAGCAGCCCTGCTCAGCTCCTATAGCCTTGCCTGTGGCTTCCGTTTTGGAGTCAGTCCATCTCATGTTTGGTCTTTCTCTTCTCCTGCTGCTTTCTATTTTTCCCAGCATTATTGTCTTTTCTAAAGAGTCCTGCTTTCTCATGATGTGTCCAAGGTGGGACCGCCTCGGTTTTATCGTTTTTGCCTCAGCGATAGTTTAGGCTTAATTTATTCCAGGACCCACTTGCTTATTTTTCTGGCAGTCGGGGGTATCCGTGGAGCTCTCCTCCAACACCATTTTCCTCCTCACTTTCTTGCGTCGCTGCCTTGTAGTCTGTGTTCCCTGAACACTCAGGTTTGCTGCCTCCGCGCCCCGGTTCCAGTTCTCTCCCTGAGCAGTTGCCTCCCTTCCCTTGGTGCCCCTGATGGGCTGCTGATTTCCAGGTTCTCGCTTGAGGGAAGAATTTAAGGCAGGGGGCTGTTAGCAGAAAAAGTAGTTCCTGAGTCTCAGAGCTGTGCAGTTACTGGGGCTCTCAGCCTGTTGATCCACCAGCTCATTTGCTCTCCAGCAGTGCCCCAGGAGGGATGTAGCAGGCATCTAAGATGAGGATGCTGAGTGCATGTCCTCAATGAGGTACCCAAGGCCATAGTGCTGGTGAGGTAGAGTGAGGAGTCTGTCTCAGGTCTCACAGATATGAGTCCTCACAGTCACGTGCAAGGATGCGGAATGAACCTGAGTTCGGGACTCCCTTTTGGCATTAAAATGTCTTCCCTCAGCCTGTTTGAGCCATTTTCCTGGGAGAGTAGGGGTGGTGACAGCAGTAGGCTATTGGGAGCCAGCCCAGGATGCCCCCCCAGCCCTGAACATACTTATTTCGTTGCTTCTTGAACCCACAGTTGTGCTCATCTATAGTGTGGGAAACTTTATTTTTTTTATGAGGAAGATTGTTGCTGAGCTAACATCTGTGCCAATCTTCCTCTGTTTTGTATGTGGGTCACTGCCACAGCATGGCTTGATGAGTGGTGTGTAGGTCCACGCCCGGGATCCAAACCCATGAACCCCAGGCCACAGAAGCAGAGTGTGTGAACTCAGCCACTGCACCACTGGGCCAGCCCCATGGGGAACTTTATTTTGACTCATGTCAGGCAGAGATTTTTAAATGCTTCCTTGGAGAAGTGCCCTGGATTCCCTAAAGACTTCGTGAAGTGGAGAAAAAGTGGCCTGGGTTCCAAGAAGAAGCTGTCACAGCTGGAAACTTGTCCACTGTTGCTGCACTTGAATTGCTCCCCTTGTCAGAGGCTGGAAATCAATGTTTACTAATTGCTATGGATTATGTTACTAAATAGCTGAGGGCCTGTGTTGTTCCTATCATGTGACTGCTGCCTTTTGGCTGCAAAGTGTCAAGCCAGCCTGTCATGCGAGGACTGGGGGAGCCCCGTTCAGGTGGTACCTGCTCCCTCATCCAGAGGAGAGTGCAGGCGTGGAGAGTTGCTGTCTTCAGAGAGGGAGCACTGGAGATCCAGAGGAAATTTGTTGCCATTCTTAAGTTTTGCCTTTTGAATCATAATGCTTGTAACGATGTTTGTCATCTTCTGAAATATGTCTCTTTCTCTTGCGTCTCCAGATCCACATAGACATCCCTCGAATGAGCCCGGAAGCATTAATACTTCAACCCAAAGTGACAGAGGTAGGAGCTGGACCTGGAGACTCCTGTGGAGGGTGTTTCCGTTTGATGGGGTGACGGGTGCCCACTGTTCTAGTAAGAGGTTGGGGCAGCTGGGGCGCTTTCCGCACAGCAGGCTTGGGGGTGACCTTGTGGGCATAATCACCGACAGGAATTGCTAATTGTTCTTCAGACGTTTTTATTGCGTGATATTGATGCATATAAAAGAATATAGATAACATGTATGTGTGTGTGTATATAGTATACACTCGTGAATCACCACCCAATTTAGGACCGAGAACCCCACCCGAATCTGACCCCTAGTGTTGAAGCTGCTCGGTGTTTTCACCCCGCTTTCTCGAAGCCCCTCCCAGGCGGTGACCACTGTCCTGGCTTTGTCTCTGTGATTCTCCATGGATTGGATATGCGTCATGTGATACCGAGAAAATCAGCATTTGGAGCTGTATCGTCCCTGTGTAGTCTAGTCTCTGCAGCTTGTTCTTTTCCTCTACGTTATTTTCTAAGATTCAGCTAATCTGTGTGTCTAGTTGTCTAACAGTCTGTTGTTTAAATATTCTACACCTTTCTGTAGCCTTTTTCCTGTTTGTGGACATTTGGGTTGTTTCTCATGTTTTGCTAGTAGGAGTGGTGTTGCCTGGAACCTTCCTGTACATTTATGCAAGTGCCCACAGGCAAGAAATTCTCCAGGGTGTTTACGAAGAAGTAAAATTGTTGTCTTGTTGATTGTGAGCCTGTTAAACTTTCGAGATGATGTCAATGTGCCTTCCAGATGGGTTCTATAATTCAGCTCTCCCCTGCAGAGGATTAGGGTCCCTGGTGCCCCCATCCTGGCCAGTTCTTGATACTGCCAGATTTCTCACTGTCTGTCCCTCTGGTGGGTGTTTTTACTGTGGCCTTCGTTTTCCTTTCTCTGATTACTGAGGGCGCTAAGCATCTCTCCGTAGATTTGTGGATTCCTCTGTTCCCCCTTCTGGGAAATGCTGTTCGTGTCCTTTGCTGGTTTTTCTTTTAGGGTGTTGATCTAATTTTTTGTTGTCTATTCATCTGTAGATGTTAGGGATTCTAATGCTTTGTCAGTTTGCATGTTGCAAATATCATCTCCCACCCTGGGCTTGTTTCTCACTTTCTTCTTGGTGACTGCTAATGATCAGACATTCTTAGCGTAGTCGAATTGATCAGTCTCTTCATTTATGGTCATCACTGGTGTGCTTTACTTAGAAGTCTTTTCCTATTCGTACATCATTAGGGCGTTCTCCCGTATTCTCATCCAGAAGTCTTAATGTTGTGCCTTTCCCACCTGCGTGTTGGATTCCTCTGTGTTGATAGCTGTGTGTGATGTGAGGCCATATCTGGTTTAACTTTCTCACACAGTGACCGGCAAGTCCCTGCATCCTTGGTGGTCTTGTCTCCCGTGTTTGCAGTGTCAGTTTTGGTTTGTCGTCGGCACATTTGCGTGGATCCATTTTTGTGTTCTCTGTTTTGTCCGAGTGTTCACGTTGTCTTCCCTCATGCCACATCCTGCCGAGTGACTCAGCCTATTAGGGAGTCTTGCAGTTGGCTGGGGGCCACTGCCGCCTCCTCTTCGGGACTGATCGTGCATCCTCAGGCCTCCACTCTCCCACGTGAGTCGCAGAAGCAGATGGCCAAGTTTTCTCGTGTGTTTTTAGAGTCTGCTTGATTTATGACTGGAATTGCATGGCATCTATAGATAATTTGGGAGAATTGACATCTTTATGAAATTTAGTATTCATTTTCATGAACATACTAATTTAGCACTTTTTAGGCCATTTTTAATGCCTTTCAATGAAGTTTTAAAATTTGTTCCATAAAAGGTCTTGTATGTGTTTTATTAGATTTATTCTCAGTTATATTTTTTGTTGCTATTGTAAATGGTATCTCTTTAAAATTGAATTTTTTATTGTTTGGAATGTTTGTTTTTCATCTTGACTGCTTCAGTAAATGCACTTTTAAACTTCGATCTTTGTGCAGTAAGTTTGTTGAAAAAAAATCCCACGTTATCAAAGCAAAAGTGCTTACAGCTGAGAGAACACAGAGGCCGAAGATCAGCCTTCCACAGGAGAAGCGTTTTGAGATCCTTCTCTGTCCTTCTCGACTGTGCTTATTGTGTCTGGAAGACGAGGGATAACATAGTATAACCTCTTTTTTGCCTATTTTCTTTTTGGTGGAAACTAGAGTCTGCCGCCAGACCTTTGGTTTGTTCTCATCTCCATAGTTTCCTGCCGCTTGACACAGTCCTTGCAGGGCTGAGCTCACAGTGCCAGCCTCTTGCTTTCAGAGAGAGGATCCAGTCACCGCAGCTGGTGTCGGTTGGCCTGTGTGTCTGTGTTGTCTGGGACCTTGAACCCCTTGGTTTGAAGCGCCTCTGCCCTGGTGGTGGTCTCTCTCCTAAATAATTTCTCCCTTAGCTCTCGTGGGCTCCTCCTGCAGCTGCAGACTCTGTCCAGGTCCCGGCTCAGCAGGACAGGACACCCTGAGGGGCAGCTGGGCTTTTGGGGAGGAGCTGGGGCTCTGCAGGCTGGCTGAGGGGGAGAGTCGGGCACAGCTGTGTGTGGGGGAAATGAAATGAGTGGGGGCCTTTAGGAAGAGTATGGAAATGTTGGTCTTGTGTTAGCCAGTAGGCGAGAGCAAGTTATATTTCTGGCATTGTGGAGGTTATGCTTAGATATATCTGCAGTGACAGCAAATCCACAACAATAGTGGCTTCACAACACGGAGATTCATTACCATTTCAGGAATGAGTTCACATCCATGAATTGGTTCCTCCTCTGTGCTTGGCTTTCACCTCATGGTCCAAGTTGGCTGCTTTAGCTCCCTGCGTCACATCTGCATTCCACCACCAGGAATAATAAGACATGGTGGAGAAGGGCCTGCCTCTGCCTTTAAAGATATTTCATAGAGGTTGCTCATGGCACTTCTTATATTCGACTGGCTAGAGCTCAGTCACGTGGTTGTACTTGGCTGTACAGAACCAGGAAAATGTCACTCTGATTTCAGTTGGTCATTTGCCCCACTCAAGTGTGGGGCTTCTTATTACTTAGGAAGATTGGTTCTGGCCTAAGTATTTCCCCCAGTCTGAGCACACATTCATTCATTCAGTCGACAGGCGATGCCTGGTTCTGCTCTGGTCTTCTCTCCCCCTCATCCCCTCCCTCCTGACAGCTTCACTGAGGTCTCATTGACATGCAGTAAAATCCCCTGTTGTAAGTGCACAGTTAGGTTAGTTCTGACACCTGTATGCAGGAGTGTGACGACCGCCTGAACCACGGTGTAGACCAGGTCCACCCCAGGAAGTTCCCCCCTGTCCCTTTGCCATCACTCTCCCCTCCCCTCCTGCCCTGGCAAATACCTGTCTGCTTTGAGCCCTAGAGTTTTGCTTTTTCAGACTTTCCCGTGAGTGGAATCATACAGACTGCAGACTTTGGTGAGTGGCTTCTCCTCCTTGGGTGGGGCGTTGGCGTTCCTCCACGTTGTCGCGTGTCATGGCTGAGGAGGACTCTGTCGTCTGGGTGGACCTCGGTGTGTTTGCCCATTCACCCCTCTGTGGGCAGTTGGGTTCTTTCCCATTCTGGGCCATTACAGAATAAATTTGTTGTACCTCTTCCGTACATATCTAGTGAGGGCAGCTGTTTTGCCCGCTCTGGGAGGTACCCAGGAGCGGAGTTGCTGGGTCATACGGTAAGTGTATATTTAGCTTTCTAGGAACCTGCCGAGCTGTTTTCTGCAGTGGCTGTAGTGGTTTGCACTCCCACGGGCAATGTGTGAGAGTTTGAGTTGCTTCACATCCTTGTCAGCACTTGGTATTGTCACTCTTTTTAGTGTTAGCCATTTTTAGCGGGGGTGCGATGGTATCTTTATGGGGTTATAATTTGCGTTTCCCTATCGACTAATGATGTTGAGCATCTGTTCATATGCTGATTTGCTATGCATAGATCTTTTTTGGTGATGTGTCTGTTCCATTTTTTGTTCATTATTTAATTCCTTTTCAAACCTTTAGCCTGCCTGTTCCCTGGCCTCCCTCAGAACTTCTGAGTCAGACTTCTTGGGTGAAGCCTGGAATCCCTGTTTTTAAGGAAGCTCGGCTAGACGTAAGGGCCACACAACCTGGGCCTGTTTAACTGCTGATGGGGAGGGTCCTAAGGTGAGTCGGGGGAGTGGACCAAGGAGGGGCCGGATCGTCATGCCCCAGCGTTGTGCTTGCAGAAAGCTGTCTGGAATGACTGTCTGGATTCCTCTTCCTCTTACCTGTGGCCTCTCAGTGTCTGGTTTCTTCTGGGCCTTCAGCTTCCACCTGGAATGTTGCCTTGTCAGAGACACTGTCCCCAGTGACTCTGGCTAATGTCAGTAGCCCCCCTCCTCCACTGTCATTCATACTCTGTGTTTCGTTGCACTTATTATCTGATTGTATTTGTCTTCTGTTTACCTAGATGTCAGCTCCCCTCGAGCAGGGCCACGGGCCCCTCGCTGTGGCTAGAGCATCACCTGGAACCTCATGGGACTTAGGAGATTTTGTTGAAATTAGTAATTAGTCTTTCTATTCAATGTTGTTATTTGAAGTAAAATTCAGAACTTTGTGGCCACTTGCTCCTTTTATCCGCTGTCCAGTGTTGAACAGACTCGATCTGTTGCGTTGGAAATGTGAATTCCGACCTGTGGCGCTCTGGCCGCTGTGGTTGGTGCCGTGAGTTTATGGGAAGAACTGTTCTCAAGTATGGCCATTGGTGAGTTCTTCTTCGGCTGAGGCACTTTTCCTGCAGTTATTATATTATCTGCCCTCTGGTTATCTGCTTCTTAGAGCAGTTTCACAAATTAGGGAAATAAGCTGCTTTTTCCAATTAGCCATGGAGAAGTGATGTCTCATTAAGTTTAAACAGACACAGAGGATAAGGAAGCTGGCAGGCTTTTTAAACTCTGTTATTTATGTGCACTTTTTAGAATTGGTGTGATGAGTTTCCAGGCCCTAAAGGATGGACACTTTCTAGGAG